GACCTGCCACCGCCTCCTCAGCCGGTTCTTCAGGCGTATTTCATCCCGAATACTAGCGGGCAGAAGCGGTCGCCTGTCAACGCGGGGTCGAAGCTTAGGAGCGGACGCTGCTGTGGCTTCCAGGATAGCACTGGTCAGCTCCTCGACGCACTTGTCGATTGCCTCCTCGTCGTTTACCACGGGGTTCCCCAGGAGTCTGCTTTCGAGGCAAGCCTGGAATGCAGCCCAGTCCATTCTCGCGAAGTCCGGGCGATCAGGCAGGTTTTGAAAGGACGATCGGCTTTTATGCAAATACAACAATGTCGAATACAACAATGTCATTAAACAGACACAACAATTATAAACGAATACAACAATTCCAAAAGCAACAATGTCTATAAATAGACACAACAATGCCGAATACGACAATGCCAAATACAATAATGTTAATAAACAGACAACAATGCCAGACGCGACAATGTCAATAAACAGACAACTAAACTGTTTATTGACATTGTTATGCTGCTCTCACGGCAAAATGTCACAGTATTTTTATGAAAACCCACACACAGGAATGAAATAAATTACACATTATATAGAAGAGTTTACTTTCCCAGTTGGCGCCGCTCCTCAAGCTTTCGTTCCGCCAGATCATTGCTAATGGAAAGGAATATCGCACGTGTTTACATATTGTGCTCTCATTAGATTCATATTTGGAAGAATTTTAAGGTGTTATTGCAGTTTTCACCTTAAAATATTAACGCATCGTGTATAGGTTTTTTTTTCTTGTGACGACCACACGCAGAATTCCTTGTTCCTGCTACACACGCACACAAAGATATGATGCCACGTGGTCTTGTAGGTGGTCACCAGTGATCCTCTGGAACGCCGGTAACCACGCGCAAGATAATGCAGTGCCATAACACACAAGACCAAGATATACACCTTTGCTGCCATGAGAACCTCGTGTCTCAGGTTCCGTAGTGTAGTTTTTTAGCTGGCTGTTACTTTATGTCGTAGGTTGACGTTGTTCTACAAGACAAGGACCTTCACGTAGAGACAAAACGCGCAACTGGACCAGGTGGTCAGCATGTGAACAAAACTGAAAGTGCGGTGAGGATAACTCATCTGCCAACAGGTGAGAATTGAACGTAGTCTTTGAAAATGCGGAAGAAACTCCATTTCTGGGCTTAGCCCAGCATAACCTAACCTAACCCAAATCAACCTAACCTAAACTAACATAACCTAACCTAACCTAACCAAACCTAACTTAGCCCAGCATAACCCAACCCAACCTAACCCAACCCAACCTAACCTAAACTAACCTAAACTAACATAACCTAACCTAACCTAACCTAACCCAACCCAACCTAACCTAAACTAACATAACCTAACCTAACCTAACCAAACCCAACCTAACTTAGCCCAGCATAACCCAACCCAACCTAACCCAACCTAACCTAAACTAACATAACCTAACCTAACCTAACCTAACCAAACCCAACCTAACTTAGCCCAGCATAACC